TTTCGCTTCATGAGAAATTCTTCTGACCTTTTTACGATTTTATAAATTTTTCGAACGAGAAAATTTTTCAATAAGAATAAGTTGGAAACAACAAGATTTTCAGACACTTTCGACTGCAAAAAGTAGGGTGTGGGTGACGAAAAAAGGAACACTCACACCCACACCCTGATAGTCAGAATATGGGTTGTTTTCAACAATACCATTGTCTCTCTCCCATCCTCTGACTTGAAATGAAATTTATTATACCGCATGGGCATGTCGTGTTTATTTAAGAACTGAAAAATTGCAAGTACATGTTCAAGAAGGAAAAAATAATTAATGGAGCACTATCTGACTCCAATAACTCTCGGATTCATTGTCGAAATGATCAGACTGAAAGCTTCATAGAGGAAGGTGTCAAATTAACGAAAGACTTTTCAGCGAATGGCAAACAGTGAACAATATTTGAGTCAAATATGTGAATGCGAAAGTGAGGGATAAGAAAATGATGAGAGCGATTTTGTTTTTCGTTGTCATGTACGTTCGCTGAAATGTCTTTTCGCTATTATGATTTTCGTAGTTTTTTTTCGGCAGAAAAGCTCGTTTGCTCGTATGCTTTTCGCTTAACGGACACCATTCTCTTCACAGCATTTATAAGAATGCTACCAACATGGGATATAAGAGGTACATGTGTATTATTTCTGTTTTCCATCAATTTTCTAATGAATGCTAAAGGATTGGCATGAAAACGACATTGTCGAAGTTGTAAAATGTTGCGGTGATCTGACTTTTCCACAAATCCATTAATAGTAATCCAACCTTTCTCAAAAGCATCTTCTTCAATCTCGGTACGAGGTTTGGGACATACACCAAGGCAATGGCAATAGGCTGTTTGTTCATCGGTAGTTTCAAAGTAGAGAGTACCGTTAAAAATAAATAATGACACCAACCATTCAGTCAGAATTGGAAACAGAACAGCACCACAATCGGGTGCGATTGACGGAGAGACTGTTAAAGTGGGTGTGTTAACTATAATTGATTGATCCGGCCTAATCCGTGGTAACAGTAGGCGTAATGTTGTAGTGAATAATTCTCCAGGTGATTGCTTACGATAAAGATCGTGTAGTCGACCCATTAGCCAATTGGCTTCGAAAGGACTTACAAAAATTATATGTTCATTACGATAGATCAGAAGCCATCGTGCAGGACGTAGAAAAGGATCTAATGATTCTCCATGTGTTTGAATCACACGTTTAAATTCATCAGTAATCCAAAGATTTTGTTGCCAACAATGTGGTTGACATTCACGATAGAATGTAGTACCAAGAAAAGCATCAGCAATGGGACAAAATACTGAAGTTAATTTTGATAAATTCAACATAGGACCATGCATATCGCATAAAGCCTTGATCTCATTGTGTAATTGAGGTTCATAGGGACGAACAGATGGAGGACGCTTCTGTTGTCGTTCTTCTTCTAATTCTTGTTCTCGCTCTAGTTCTCGTTGCTGCTCTTCATCTAATAATTGTGTCAGAAGTTTTTTCGAACCACCATAATCGTATAATCGTTTGGAAACAGCTTCATGAATTTCAACTGATGAAGAAACATTAGAATGTTTATATCGAGCAGAATAAATGTCAAATATTGTTTGAAAAGTTTTCGGTACACCATACATAGATTTCAATTCTAAGACTTCAGCTTCCAAACATTCTCTGGATATGTTTTCCATTATTGTATTTGTGTAGAATGTTTCTTTTTCTTTCCAATCGATATTTCTAAAAGCAGTAATTTTTCGTTGAAAACTTAAACTTTGTGTTGCCCAAAGATGTAATCCATCCCAAGTCGTCTGTTGAGTATTTTCATAAACCCAACGAAGAATATCAGTCAGCGTAATTCGATCATTGATGTTTTCCTTATCATTTGGTGAAACTGAATTTTTCTTCATTGTTCGAATTTGTTGATGAACTTCGTTTGAACTCCAAAAACTTAACCAATGATGTTTACCTAATTTTCTCATTCTCATACATGCTTGAACTAAGCGATCCTTAGTGAGACCATTTCCTAAGGTGACAGCAGCTCTAAATTCATTCGGAAATTTAAAATCTGTTCCTCTCGTATGAATTTCATCTAAATAAAATACACAACGATCGAGACGTTCACTAGCAGGTGATGTCAAAAAAGTATGATGTTGATATTGACGATCACAAACGTATATCGAATCCGATTCAAAATATACAGCATAATCGATTTGAATTTTATCCGATAGATCCAACCATTTGATAGCTATTTGACGATTAGTTCCATCAACGAACAAGGCACCAACATCTAGAATGACTTGAGTCATTGGTTTACTAATAACAATTTGTTTCAAGATTTCGTCCGAGTTCGTACTAATCGGTAAATATTGATAATGATCATTTTCTGGCCGAAGTAAATTATTAAGAACAATTGCGTCCGTTTTTTGAAGTTCTGGTAAATCACATTGACGAATATGAATAGGCAATAATAATTGAGTATCATTTGTACCACTAAATCCAGTGATTATTTTCTCTCGTAAAGATGAAGATAGATCC